CCGGGCTGGATTCGAACCTGCCACCTTAGGTGTATGTGGCTGTCACCTTAGCCACTTGAGCCACAGGCGCCGAGCCTGAAAATATAAACTTAATGAGACCTCCTTAAAAAGATAAACACTTAACCAATGTCATAAAGGTATTATTTGTCTCTCTAGTTCAGTTTTTACCTTTAAGTCACTAAAAGCATTATTAATAACAAAAGTACTTACCACTTCTATTTCCAGTAAGTTATTCTTATTTTCAAGTGTTCTCACGTGACTAGTAGCTTCATTCAAAGCACTATCTAATTGGGCACATCTAAAAACCATAAATGTAATAGTTACAATTAGAAGAAAAAAATTATCTTCCTTAAAAGTATTACATAAATTTCTACATATTATATAAAACAATTTCTCTAATGTTAGCTGTTTTAGTAGAATATGAGGCTGCCCAGAAAGTATCCAGCCATGGTTCGTACTATCTAGAGAAAATAAAAGGTGAAAATAATGACATGAAAAGATCTTTTAAAAAATTAAGTAGAGAAAAACAAGCTATGAACAGATATTTAAACACCCATATTCATAGCAGCCCTATTGACAATAGCTAAAAGATGGAAGCAACCAAAATGTCCAACAGATAAACAGGTAAGTATATATAAAATGAATTGAGTCTTTTTTTGGAGACAGAGTCTCACTTTGTCAACCTGGGTAGAGTGCTGTGACATCAGAGCTCACAGCAACTGCAAACTCCTGGGCTCAAGGGATTCTCTTGCCTCAGCCTCCCAAGTAGCTGGGAACTAGCTGGGAACCGCCACAAGCCTGGCTATTTTTATAGGTGGGGGTCTCACTCCGGCTCAGGCTGGTCTCGAACCTGTGAGCTCAGGCAATCCACCGGCTTTTGCCCCCAGAGTGCTAGGATTATAGGTATGAGCTACCATGTCCAGCCTAGATTGAATCCTAAAACAGGAAATTCTAATGCATGCTAAAACACAGATGAACCTTGAAGACATTATACTAAGTAAAATAAGCCAGTCACAAGAAGATAAATACTCTGAGTCTACTTATGTGAGTAGTCAAATCCATAAACACAGAAAAAAACGGAATGGTGTTTGGATCTGAGAATGAGAATAATGGGAAAAGTTTTGCAAGATAAAGAAGTGCTGGCTCAGTGCCTGTAGCTCAAGCAGCTCAGGTGCCACATACACCAGAGCTGGTGGGTTTGAATCCAGCCCGGGCTTGCCAAACAACAACAACTACAACCAAAAAATAGCCAGGCGTTGTGGCAGGCACCTGTAGTCCCAGCTACTTAGGAGGTTGAGGCAAGAGAATTGCTTGAGCCCAGGAGTTGGAGATTGCTGTGAGCTGTGATACCACAGCACTTTACCCAAGGTGACATCTTGAGGCGCTATCTCAAAAAAAAAAAAAAAAAAGACAAAGTGCTGAAGATAGATGGTGATAATGGTTGTACAATATGAATATACTTTAGCCATTGAATAGTACACTTAAAATAGTTTAAATGGTAAGTTTTCTGTTAATGCATATTTTATAATTTTTTGAGGCAGAGTCCTGTGCTGTTGCCTGAGCTAGAGTGCAGTGGCACCATCATAGCTTATTGCAACCTCAACCCACTGGGCTCAAGCATCTTCCTGCCTCAGCCTCCTGAGTAGCTATGACTATAGGCAGGTGGCTGTTTCTATTTTTGGTAGAAATAAGGTCTCACTCTTGCTCAAGCTGGTCTCAAACTCCTAAATTCAACCAATCCTCCTGCCTCAGCCTACCAGAGTGCTAGGATTATAAGCATGAGCTACTAAGCTGGCTCATATTTTACAATTTGCTATTAAAATTTTAACATATAGAAGACTACATAAAAAAGCTTGATCTTAGTTATGAAAAAAATCTATATGTACATATATGCATTATACTTTCTGGAAGGATGTAAAAAATTAAGTTTGGGATGTGGAAAACAGAGATTGGGTAGAAGACTTACATTGTGTGTGAGACAAGGTCTCACTGTCACCCAGACTGTCATGATCATAGCTCACTATAACCTCAAATTCTAGGGTTCAAGCAAACTTCCTACCTTAGCTTCTCTGAGTAGCTGTGACTACTATAGTATATGCTATCACATCCGGTTAATTTTTCTATTTTTGTAGAGACAGGGACTCATTATGTTGCTCAGTTTGGTCTCAAACTCCTAACCTTAAGTGATCCTCCTTCCTTAGCCTCCCAAAGTGCTAGAATTATAGGCATGGGCTACCACAGCCAGACTCTGTTTTTTGTTTGTTTTTTTTTAATAAGATAATTGACTCTACAAGTTCATGAGAACTATATAATATTTTAAAGTTATGCATGTCTGGGCTTAAAAAAAAAAAAAAGGATGAGAACTGTAACTAGAAATAAGTTATAGACTTATTAGGGACTCTGTAGTACTAATCCTCCCATAAATGTCATTATTCCACATATACAACATCTGCTCAAAAGTAAAAATACTTGGTTCGGCGCCTATAGCTCAACCGGCTAAGGCGCCAGCCACGTACACCTAAGGTGGCAGGTTCAAATCCCCAGCCCGGACCCGCCAAACAACAATGACGACTGCAACCAAAAAATAGCCGGGCGTTGTGGCGGGCGCCTGTGGTCCCAGATACTTGGGAGGCGGAGGCAGGAGACTTGCTTGAGCCCAGGAGTTGGAGGTTGCTGTGAGCTGTAATGCCACGGCACTCTACCTAGGGGGACAGCTTGAGGCTCTGTCTCAAAAAAAAAAAAAAAAAAAAAAAAGTAAAAATACTTTGGCAGACATGACTTTGTGTTAAAATTTCAAATTAAAACTACATTTTCAAAGTGTTTCATTATTACAATATATTATACTTTTGTAAGAATCATACCTTCAAAATGGACAAACACTAACTTTAAGTTAAATTAATGTTTTACCTGTCCACAAGAATTTGGTTGGTTTTCTTCCAATCTTCAACTGCAGAAATTTCTTTTGCCTCCATCTTCTGCTTCAAACTACTTATTTCTGACTCATAGTAAGCTCGAAGATCAGCTATATGCCGAGCATGCTTTTCCTTCAGATTCTGCCTAATCCTATTGGTGAGAAGTTTAAAAAAAAAAAAATTATATATATGTGTGTGTACATATATATATGTGAAAAGTATATCTTTCTTTATCCCATAATAGATACCAAGAACACATAGGGCCGGGTGCAATGGCTCATGCCTGTAATCCCAGCACTCTGGGAGGCCGAGGTGTGTAGACTGCCTAACCTCACAGGTTCTAGACCAGCCTGAGCCAGAGGGAGACCTCATCTCTAAAAATAGCGGGATGTTGGGTAGCGCCTATGGCTCAAAGGAGTAGGGCACTGGCCCCATATGCCAGAGGTGGCGGGTTCAAACCCAGCCCCAGCCACAAGCTGCAAAAAAAAAAAAAAAAGAAAAGAAAAGAAAAGAAAAAAAGCTGGATGTTGTGGCAGGTGCCTGTAGTCCCAGATACTTGGTATGCTGAGGCAAGAGACTCACTTGAGCCCAAGAGTTTAAGGTTGCTGTGAGCTATGATGCCACAGCACTCAACTGAGGGTGACAAAGTGAGAATCTGCCTCAAAAATAAATACATAAAAGAAACCAAGAACAATAACTTTCATAAGCAAAAATAGTGTTTTTCTTTTGCATACCCACAAACTATATAAAAGATCAATATACAAAAGGTTCACAAAATAAAAGAGATTTTTATATGCTCAATCTTAAAATGCTATCCTTAAGATTTTACACATTACTGAAGTTCAATAAAAATTATTTTGCCATTCAGACATCACAGAAAATCTTTTAATGTTATAAGCTATTCACTGAAATACATACTTCGACAATATCACAGGATCTTCCAAGGAAGTCAGTGCAATGCATTCTGGGACACTGTTGGCTGTACCTGGAAGCTGGGACTGACCAACTGAGGCTGAAGGTACCATGACAGTGTTTTCTTCATCTACAGTGTTGACTGAGACATCATTGCTAGTAATAGTATATACAGAAGGAAATGTAGAACTGGTTCTACTTTCATTTTGGAATGTATGATTTTTCCAAGAGTCCATTGGTGAAGCTTTTATATTTGAAGGATATTTTGGGAATCCAGATATCTGAGAAGCAATATTACTTGCTTGTGAAAATGAGTCTATGTCAGAGTGACTAGACATACTAGGTTCTAGAACAGAGTCTGGTGAAAAGGATATTCTGTCATCAAGGGCATTCAAAAAGTCATGCGGTTGAATCCTAGAAATCTGCTGACTTGGCTTCATATGTAACGATGGATCTAGAGTCAGTACCTAAAAACAAGACAGACAATAGTAAGGCCTTACCCTTAGTACCTGTTTTTTGTTTTGCTTGTTTTGCTTTAGGTCTCCTAGGGAAAATAAAGCTTAAAATAAAAGTTAGAGTCAGGAAGCATCGTTCATTTTTACTCAGCAGAACGTTGACAACTTTACCTCTGGAGGATGATTTGGGTTGGAAGCAGAAGTGAGATTCCTCTCAGGTAACTGCTTGTTTTCCCTTTGTTTTTTATGATAAATATCCTTCAGTGATGGTAGCTTCATCTCATTACTAGTATTAGACTTAAAAATATGAAACAAAATCATTTAAAAGGTATTATCAACAATGGAAAAATTTGACTGACATCACTATCAGTACCACAAAAACATTTTTGAGACATTTTAAATAAACTGAAATACTTTCCTATCTCCTACAAATGAACATTAAAGGAATAATTTGACCGTAATTATTTAGCAGCCTATAATTATACTTCTAAACAATAAAATCACTGGTAGTCTTCCCACCCAAAATAAAAACCAAGTTTTGGGATAAATAAAGACTTCATGATGAATGATTGAAGCAGAATGAGAAAACTTCTGGCTAAATTAATTTGACGTGACTCAGGGATAAGTATTAAGAGGCAGAGTTCCTCATCTATGTAGTTATGGACATGTTTTTTTCTTAGAGTTGGCAGACAAAAAAGTGTTAAGAAGTTATTCAATGAAAACAAGTCCCTTTTTTCATTAGCAAAATAAGAAACTATGACCCTATTTTCTTTTCCCAGATAGGGTCTCACTGTGTTGCCCAGACCAAGTGCAGTGGTATGATCATAGCTCACTGCAACCTTAAACTTCTGGGCTCAAGTGATCCTCCTCCTGGCTTGGCCTCTTAGTTAAGATCACAGGCACATGCCACTACACTCATCTAATTTTTTTTTTTTTTTTGAGACAGAGTTTCACTATGCCACCCTCAGTAGACCACACATCACAGCTCACAGCAACCTCAAACTCTTGGGCTTAAGTGATTCTCTTGCCTCAGCCTCCCAAGTAGCTGGGACTACAGGTGCCCACCTCAATATCCAGTTATTTTTTTGGTTGCAGTTGTCAGTGTTGTTTTAGCTGGCCCTGGCCAGGTTCAAACCCACCACCCTTGGTGTATGTGGCTGGCACTATATCCACTGTGCTACGAGTGCCAACCAGACTCCATTTCTTTAAAAAAAAAAAAAAGAAAAATTAGCTGGGCATGGTAGTATACCCATGTAGTCCCAACTATGGGGAGGGGGAACTGAGGTAGGAGGATCACTTGAGCCCAGGAGTTTGAGGTTGCAGTGAGCTAGTATTTCAAGGTAGAACTCATCATGGGGTGTGAAAGGAGCAACAATTAACCCTAGACTTCAAATTTAATGTCTCAAAAAAAAAAATTTAATGTCTCAAATGAGATTACAGAGTCAACAAAAGATATGTTGAAAAAACATGTTCACTTTACAACTTTAAATTTGGCCAGGCACAGTAGCTCAAGCCTGTAATCCTACCACTCTGGGAGCCCAAGGTGGGTGAATCACCTGAGCTCAAGAGTTCAAGACCAGCATGAGCAAGAGCAAAATCCCAACTCTACTAAAAACTAGAAAGGGCCAAGGGCAGTGGCTCATGCCTGTAACCCTAGCACTCTGGGAGGCCAAGGGAAGTGAGCTCAGGAGTTGAAGACCACCAAAGCAAGAACAAGACCTCATCTCTACCAAAAATAGAAAAACCGTGGCAAAAGGATCTCTAGATCCCAGGAGTTGGAGGTTGCTGTGAGCCGTGACACAATGGCACTCTACCAAAAAAATTAAAATAAAAAATAAATAAAAACTAGAAAAAAACTAGCCAGGTATTGTGGCCAGCTACCCAAAAGGCTGAGGCAAGAGGATCTCTGGAGCCCAAGAGTTTGAGGTTGCTGTAAGCTATGACACTATGGCATTCTACCCAGGGTGACAGAGTGAGACTTATGTCTCAAAAATAAATAAAAAACTTATGGCCTATTCCTAGATACTATACAGGCCATGGAGCACCACGAATTAATATTTTTTAGTAAACCCTATTAACTACCTTGGGAATAGAACAATTAATTACATTTTGGTTTGTGAACAATTCCCATAAACCTGCTTTGGAATTGTACCAACAAACTAAAGTTCTTCTGAACAAGCTTTATGACAAACAGCAGCACTCTGTCTACAGATGCAGCCTGAGACTTCCCTGTCTCATGCTCCAGGTAAACAGCTGGAGTTATTCTATTTACAGCTCATGGTAATAAAGCTACCTTTCACAAGGGGGAGGGACAGAGTCTCACTCTGTACCCTAGGTAGAGTGTCATGGAGTCAGCCTAGCTCACAGTAACCTCAAACTCTTGGGCTCAGGCAATCCCCTTGCCTCAGCCTTCCCAGTAGCTGGGACTACAGGCACCCACCACAACCCCCCATAGTTTTTCTATTTTTAGTAGAGACAGGGGTATCACTTTTGGTATTTGGGCTTTTATTTTTTGAGACAGAATCTCAAGCTGTTGCCCTGGGTAGAGTGCTGTGGTGTCACAGCTCACAGCAACCTCAAACTTTTGGGCTTAAGCAATTTTCTTGCCTCAGCCTCCCAAGTAGCTGGAACTACGGGCACCCACCATAACGCCCAACTATTTTTTGTTGTTGTTGTTGTTGTAGTTGTCATTGTTTGGCAGGCCGGGGCTGGATTTGAACCTGCCACTCCAGTATATGAGCTACAGGTGCCAAGCCAAGGGGGTATCATATTTGCTCATGCTGGTCTGGAACTCCTGAGCTCAGATGATCCACCCACCTTGGCCTTCCAGAGCACTAGGATTACAGGTGTGAGCCACCATGCCCAGCCAAAAAGTACCAGGTTCACTACTTCTATGTTTTCTTTTCATATTTTAACATCTCTGAGGTGAGGATTCCTCTTCTAATTAATGGCAGACAATCCTGGAGGCTACAATGAAACACCTAAGGGCCAATATTTAAGAGAAGGGTGAGTCAGACATTTTGGATAATCTTCCTCTGGGAGTCAAAAGTAGGCCAGTCCTACATAAATACTAAGCCAGGTAAAATCTCTTTTTGGTTTTTTTTTAAAAATAGTAGGCCGGGGCAGCACCTGTGGATCAGTGGGCAGGGCACCGGCCCCATATACCGAGAGTGGCAGGTTCAAACCCGGCCCCAGCCACACTGCAACAAAACATAGCCGGGCGTTGTGGTAGGTGCCTATAGTCCCAGCTTCTTGGGAGGTTGAGGCAAAAGAATCACCTAAGCCCAGGAGTTGGAGGTTGCTGTGAGCTGTGTGATGCCACAGCACTCTACTGAGGGCAACAAAGTGAGACTCTGTCTCTAAAAAAAAAAAAGATGGTACAAACACGATGAACATTCCTAAAACCTGCCAGATTTCCTCTAAGAAGTATGGCAAGTACCAGCCCCACAAAGTAACATGGAATAAGAAGGGCAAGGACTCTCTGTATGCCTAGGGAAAGTGGCATCATGACAGAAAGCAGAGTGGCTATGGTGGGCAGACTAAGCGAATTTTCCAAAGGCTAAAACTACAAAGAAGATTGTGCTTAGGCTTCAGTGTGTGGAATCCAACTGCAGACTAAAGAGAATGCTAGCTATTAAGAAATGCAAGTGGCTTGGTGCCCATAACACAGTGGTTATGGCACCGGCCACATACATCAAGGCTGGTGGTTTCGAACCCAACCCAGGCCAGCTAAACAATGACAACTACAACAAAAAAATAGCTGGGTATTAAGACAAGTACCTATAGTCCCAGCTACTTGGGAGCTTCTCTCTGCTAAGGCAAGAGAATCACTTAAGCCCAAGAGTTTGAGGTTGCTGCGAGTTGTGATGCCACAGCATTCTACCCAGGGTGAGAGCTTGAGACTCTGTCTCAAAAAAAAAAAAAAAAAAATCCTCTCAGGGGAAAAAAAAAAAAGACACATTTGAACCCCAAGAGTTTGAGGTTGCTGTGAACTATGACGTGACAGCACTCTACCGAGGGTGACAAAATGAGACTCTGTCTCAATTTAAAAAGAAAAAAAGACACAGGTGGCTCAAAGGAGTAGGGTACTGGCCCCATATACCAGAGGTGGTAGGTTCAAACCTGGCCCCAGCCAAAAACTGCAAAAAAAAAGACACCAATGCTCTTAGCGGCCTGGAGGAAGATAATATGTGAAAAAACACAGAAACCAACCAACACTGAGTTGAAAAGAAATGAATGTAAGTCTCTCAGGAGGAAAAAATTTGAGCTACTCTTACTTATGCTTTGCCTTTTAAAGTATGTAGAAGAGCCGGCCGCAGTGGCTCATGCCTATAATCCTAGTACTCTAGGAGGCTGAGAAAGGTTGATTGCTTGAGCTCAGGAGTTCAAGACCAGCCTGAGCAAGAGCAAGAGCAAGAACAAGAGCCCATCTCTACTAAAAACAGAAAAACTAGCTGGGCATGGTGGCACAAGCCTATAGTCCCAGCTACTCAGGAAGCTGAGGCAAGAGAATTGCTCAAGCCCAAGAGTTTAAGGTTGCTATGAGCTATGATGCCAGTGCACTCTACCCAGGGCAACAGAGTGAGATTCTGTCTCAAAAAAAAAAATTAATAAAGTGTATATAAGATATTTATGACAAAGCTATGATGCCAGGGCACTCTACCAGGGGCAAGAAAGTGAGACTCTGTCTCAAAAAAAAAAAAAAGTCTATGACAAAAAATCTAATTAAGTTTAAAAGCTTTTCCCATAAGAACAAAATAAAAATTCTCAAGTGGTAAAAAAGTATTATATCATCTTAATGTGCAAATTTCTTTCATTGGTATAACATGAAATGAGAAGCCTTAAAATTGATGGCATCGGCTCAGTGCCTGTGGCTCACGTGGCTAAGGCGCCAGCCATATACACCTAAGGTGGCAGGTTGGAATCCAGTCCAGGCCTGCCAAAACAACAATGATGGCTGCAACTAAAAAAATAGCTGGGCGTTGTGGTGGATGCCTGTGGTCCCAGCTACTTAGGAAGCTGAGGCAGGAGACTTGCTTGAGCCCAGGAGTTGGAGGTTGCTGTGAGCTGTGATGCCACAGCACTCTACCCAGGGAGATAGCTTGAGGCTAAAAAATAAATAAATAAATAAAATTGATGGCATTTTAGACTCAGCAAAATGCAGTGTCAACTTACTGGTGCTGAAGTCCCAGTGAGCCCTGCAATGGCAAAGCCTGCTAGGCCTTCCATGCCCCCACCAACCTCACCTTCCTCCACTTCATTTCTTTTTGTGTTCCTTTCCTTAAGTATGGAATGCTGGCTCTGTCACTCTCCAGTACTCTGATGCATACATTGGTGTCCCACATGTCTGTACTTGTCACTCATTTTTACATGTCTTGTGATTACTTTGTATATCCCCTTCCCCCAACCTAGACTCTCTCATTACCTGATCAAAATACAGAAATGAAATATGTACATTGATACTCGTCTGGAACAGTTTTACTTCTCTGCTCTGATACTTTAAAAAGTTTTCTTGCTCAAAGAAAATTAATACAACAAGTTAAATTGCTCACTATTACGGTACAAATGGAACTGTGAGAGGGGTAATAGGATGAAAAATCTAAACTAGGTCTGAAAAAGGGAAGAAGTTAAAATCTGAGAACCTACTATACATAAATTAGTAGGCACAAATCATGTCATTTAATTTCATAAAACACAAACTAATATTTTAAATTTCAATAAAATAGTTTTCTAAAGGAAATAGTTTAAATAGTTTTCCTAAGGGAAATTCCCTATAGGGAATAAGTGACAGAGAAAGAACTTAAAAATAGGTAAGAATGATCCTAAAGCCAATGCTTTTTCCAATATTTCAGAAGTTAAAAATATGAAATTTATAACAGAGTGCTCAATAATTATAAAATTCAAATACACACAAATACAATATGTGTTTGAGTTACCTGGCCTGGTGACATATCTGTGGAGGGTGATGGTACAAATGTCTTCTCTAAGGTTTCAGGCAAAGAGTGATATGTATCCTTCTCCTCTAGTTTCCAGTAAGTCAGTCCTAAGGTGCATGAGCACACAGAATAGAAGTATGTGAACAGAAAACAAAAATGCTTTCTAAAACAACTTATTTCTACCTAAAGAAAATTAAATATGGAAAAAACCTGCTTTTTGGCTATTTGTTAAACAAGTTGAATGCTGATGGAAAAAGAGTCACATGAATACTTTGCCATGTAAGAGTCCTAACTTAATGCTGATATATAAAGCTGAGATATTATTAAAAACTGAATTAGCATGATTTTAAAATATGAGGGGTTTTGTTTGTTTGTTTTAAGAGACAGAGTCTCTCTTTGTTACCCTCAGCAGAGTGCCATGGCACATAGCTCACAGCAATCTACAGCTCTTGGGCTTAGGTGAGTCTCTTGCCTCAGGCTCCCGAGTAGCTGAGACTATAGGCACCCGCCATAACACCCAGCTATTTTTGTTGTTGCAGTTTGGCCGGGGCTGAATTCGAACCCACCACCCTTGGTATATGGGGCCAGAGCTCTACTCACTGAGCCACAGGCACTGCCCTAAAATATGTTTTAAAATAGGTGATTTCTCTGTGAGTAGTGTAGACATAAAGAATCAATGGGCTTGGCGCCTGTGGTTCAAGTGGCTAAGGCACCAGCCACATACACCTAAGGTGGCAGGTTCAAATCTAGCCCGGGCCTGCCAAAACAACAATGACGGCTAGAACCAAAAAATAGCTGGGTGTTGTGGCGGGCGCTTGTGGTCCCAGCTACTTGGG